AAAAAAATTGACCAATAAAAATCTTCCACTCTTTTAACTAACTAGTTTGTATCAAAATTTCACACCAAACAAAAGTGTCTTTGATCCCCAGCTAACCTCTTTTTTCCTCCAGGTCTTTCATTCATGATTTTTTCTATTATTTTTCTTTCTATATGTTACCAACAGAAAATCCATGGTCACAGCCTCAAGATCAAAGATGAAGTTTAATCTTTAGATTGTGCTGCTTATGCTCATAAACCACTCAAGCCCCAATCCTGCTGTCTGTGACAGTGACAGAAGCCTTGATTCAATTATAGGTTACAGTCAATGGGGAACATGCTTTAATCTGTGTACAAACAAAGGGATAAAACAGAAACATGTACCATTCTAGGGATGGTACTTTATTACACTGAGACATCAGTCAGTGTTGCAATAATGCAGGCTGGGTTTGGAAAATGGATGAGATTAAATTGTCTGCTGGGCTGTGGCTGCCTCTCACGTACAGACTGGTGCCTGTACTGCTCTGCTTCTCTGTCATTTATCTGGCTCACAAAGACTCTGATCCACTACATGTTGCGTGATAGCACAAATTTCATGAGATGAAGGATTCCCAGAATTATTCGGGATTAGACCATTATTCGAAATATGATAGGATTTTTCAAATACTGTTTGGGTATGAGAAATTATTCTGAGGTGTAATGCCATTGAAATAATCAAAATTTTTGCTCTAGCATTAATATGCTCACATATCAGGGTGTCTGGAATCCATTTCCACATTTGCCAGTGCCTTTTTAACACTCAGTGTTGAGTGCTTCTTACAAGGTAAATTTAAAAGAAAGGTGACTTAGCGGAGAGCTGGCTGGGCTGTAATGATGACAGCCTTCCACTGAGTTAAAGTAAAATTCCTTTATGAGTATTGTTGACATTCCCCAAGCCCCATTATTGTTATTCCAGTTTCAGAAAACACTTTAACACATGCTTTTTTTCAAGACACATGTTTCAAATATCATGGGATTTTGGCATTTGCTTATGTACTTTCACAATTTGATTAGTTAAACAGTGAGGGAGTGAGAGCCATGGAGAGAAAGAATAATTTTGGAACTAACAGTCCTTCCATGTATAAATTCTTAATTTTTAGCCCACCCATCTCACTCCTTTTTTCCACTTTCCACGCTTCCAATTGTGGTAGGCTGAGTGCTGCAGCAGCATTTGGGTGATGGCAAGCAGAGGAAGAGAAGAAGTAGGCAGAAGACTCTCTGTGCCACTTGCTTCAGCCAGTGTCTGCCTCTGCCCCCTCCATTACTGAGTGCAGCACACTGGCCTGTTAAACATGGATTGTTTTCTGTTAAAAGAGCTTGTCTTTTTTTTTTTTTTTTTTTTTTTTTTACCAAAAAAGGTATATTTGTGTTCTTTTTTCTTTAAAATATGTATTCCATTGTGTCAAGTGACGCTTAATAACTTGACATTACTCTGTGGCACAATGAAAAGCAGAACAACCTCTTTTGGAAAGGAGAGTGAAAAGTCTTGGCATGATGTGAGAGCAAACAGCAGCTCATTCAGTGCTCAAATCACCTATAAATCACCAGTAACCCATCTTTCAACTACTGTAATAATTTTAACACACCTCCAAAAAAATTTTTTCTTTGAATAGAAGTTATATATTACAAAAAAAAAATTGTTAGATGTTGATTTAAAATTTACAGGAATAAGTTAGCAGAGAAGAAATAAAGAATATCCCCTGAATAATAATGTCTTATTCAGCAAAAAGGACCTTTCAGAGGCGGCACTTCTCAAGAAGATCCTGAACTTCTCTCAAGTAACAGACATTTCACACACCAGGGGAAGGCTGTAGAGAAAGGTATGTGAAAAAACAAATAATTTACTTCTCACTGATGTAGTTAGAGAAGGTTGAGAGGGCTTCCTTTACAGTGGGTGCCATTTAAAAGCCAGCATTTGTCAACAGATACCACACAGTTGTTTCCCGCAAAGCTCTGGTGCTTCAGAAGCTGCTCGGTGACAGGTCTTGGCAAACACTGACTTTTAAGTGGCAACCATTATAATTACAGTATTCATGAAAGCGAGAGATGAACAGCACAGACTGAAAAGGAGCCAGGTGTCACATTGTGTGGGCAAGGGCCATGCCTGGCTTCCCACACCATGCTGCCAGTGCCACTTGGCCAGAGCAGCAGGCTGCCTGCTATCCCCATCCTGCACTGCTTCCAAGCTGGAGCTGAGATGTCAACTGTTTTTCCCCCCAAACTTCACAGAGGATTTCATAATGAGATGGCTTTGAAAGAATGAGAGGTCACCAAGCATCTTTGCATGCCTAACATAAAAATGAAACTCATTTAATCTGCTCTCTTTCTGTTCACATTTTTCTGTGACATCAAGTGACTAGGAGGCTCACAAAGATGGCATGAATCTGGTGGATGTAAGCCAGGTCAGGTATGTTTTAAAGTAACTAATTTTTCAATAACATCCATTTGCCAGATATATTCTCTTCTTAAGATGAGGATGTAATTCACTATATGAGCTAAAGTTCACAATCAAACTAAATTCATTTTGTCATATGAGCTAAAATTGTATTAGTATTAACTAAAAAAATTGCATTTAAACTAGTCATATTTCACATGCAAAGACAAATTCTTGATGCCAGATTTAATGTTATTCATGCATTAGTGTTATCCTTGTCTATTCATCATATGTTGTGAATGTTTCTATGGTCCATAGGATAAAGAAGAATATCATTTGTTAATGAAGAGTAACTTCAATGCTAAGGGACTTAATTAAAACTACATATATGGGATAAAATTTAGCACTTCATTCTTTCACCACACTGTGAATGTAGAATGAATGTAGTCTGTTGTCATATTAATGTTCAAAATATGAGTAGTTGTACATCTGAATAGTTTCATTCAAATCAATGTGCCTAACTCACATGAGTAAGGTCTTAAAAAGCTGGAATATATTTATATTCACGCTGAGAACATGACTTACTTGTTCTTTGTTTCTTAACTTGCATTATTAATCTGCTGGTATCATCACTCAGTTTCACTGAGGAGTATCCAAAGAATATGAATCAGTTTCTGTAATTTTTGGGGACTCACAGCAGTCACTTTAATGCAAATAGTAGAAGTCATCTGAAATAAAAACAATTCTCTGAGATGTAAACTCATTGTTTCATCTATAAGCAATTATTTTTCTGGCAGTAGGGAAAATGAAAACTAGAATATTTATGGCTCCTCATACCACTGATTTCAGTGTACTCCTACTTGCCTTACTGCATGTACACCTTCCCACATTTAACAAGCACAATGTGCATAAGAAAGCAGTGCTTACACAGGACCGAAGGTATAGGAGTTTATGAATAACCAGCACAGGTTTCCTTTCTGCACAGATTGCATTGTTCATTCACATTTGGCAGCCTTTGACAGCCAGTTTTCAGGTGAAAGGGGCAGGACTGTGTTCTAAAAGCTCTGTTTTCCCTGATTCACCCAAATTTTGCCTGAAGTACAATTTTGCCCCATGGAGCTATGTTCCAAAGATACATTACGCACATAAAACATGCGCTGACCTGTTTTGTCTGCACCATGTATGCATTTCCTCTGCATGAGGGCACATATGATCATGAAGGTTTGAGTCATAATCATCAGATGGGTGCTGTCATCAGACCTTATGTTAATTTATATGAATATAATACAGCAAAATACAGCCAACAGAAAATTCCCCTGTGTAGTCAAAGGCAGCACAACAGGCAGTGCGCCACCACCTCTGAGACCATTAACAGTAAAGGTAGAAATACAGCCATCATATTGCCCAACTAATCTAAGCACCATCTTTTGAAAACTTATTCTGTAGGACTCTTTTTCTCAGAGGAAAAAGGAAATTTACACAATCGTCTCTTTCTTCACAATCTCAGTTTTAAAAGTCATTGGACAGAGTAGCAGCAAAATGATGGGAAAAAAATTTGCCTTATATTTGTGTGCTTCTCCTGGTTAAATATACCTTTGTCTCCTTTCCTGGGGAAAGAAAAAAAAAAAGAGAAAATAAGATGAGGAAAACAGCTGACATAAAGAAAAAAGGAAAAAAAGTAGGATAAGACATACAGTAGTGCTACCCAGTTTCCTTTTCAGGTAATATTATGAAAATGGGATTGATTAGGTGAATATACATGCAGATATCTTATTGTTGCCTTGTACTTTCAGTACTATAATAATATTTTGATTTTGTTATTATATTTTATGACATTATTATTTTTCAAATCTGTAAATTAAAACACAAAAAAAACCAAAACCAAAACACAACAAAAAAAAAAACCCAAAAAAACCCAAAACAAACAAACAAAAAACTACAAAAAAAACCACAACAAAACAAACAAAAAAAGCCACTGTACAACTCCCCACTGAAAATAAGCAAAATATCTATTCTTATGTTCCTGCAACCTATCAGGCCAATTTATTAGGGTATAAGACTAAAATTAGGGAAAATGGAGGAGAAATTAAAAATAATCACCATAAAAATCATTGGGAAAAAAAAAAAAAAGCCCAGAGTGTAGAATAGCAGGAGTGGGACTTTAGGACTATGAGATTTTATAGATACTTTTAAGCTTTGTTAAAAATGGTCACTCTGGTAGTACGTCTGAATAAATGACTTTTCATATTTCTGCTATATTTTGACAAAGAACTAAAAGGTAATCCCATGGTACCTGAATTTGATCTCATTGAAAAGTTCCAATAGCAAAGCTACTGTTGAGCAGACCTGTGCCTCCCTCTACATCTTGCTGCCCTGGGAAAATAATAATAATAATAAAGAAACACTTCTTGTAGCACCAATACAGCAATCATGCTGGGTCATGAAACTAATTATGTTTTGTGATAGTGGAAATTCTCCATTTCTGTGTGAAGGGGCACTGCTGCATGATAGATGAATGTTGGAAAGGCAGTACATTGTGCTCTTTCATCTCTGTCACTGCATATTTATTCTAACTGCTCCTAAATTATTCATTTTCTTTAAGCAATCAATATTAATAATCTGATTTGCTCCTTGGCATTTTTAGTCACACTTCTGTTTAACTGACTGTAAATAAAGGTCACTTGGAGGCTTCCTGCTGCTGTTCTGAAGGTCCTTGCCTAATTAATTCCCAACACTTTTTTCCCTGTGACTCTGATTAGCAGTTGCAATCAAGTTCAGCAATTAGCTGCCTCCCTGCACAGTGATTTGCTCACTCTGCCTCCCTGTATAGAGCTACATTTGGTCTCTACTATACAAAGGCAAATGGAGGAATTTAAATGTATTTGTTTTGTGTTCCATGACCATACAGAACAGGTCAGATTTGTCACTGCTTGCACATAACCTTTGCCCACCTACATCATACCTCCTAATCATCCATGATGCCCCAAAAGACACTGTAAACATAATGAACAGCCTCACCAACAACCCACTTGTGATATGCCTAATCTCAGACTTGTGAATCAGCAAACAGTTACAGTACATTAAATCACTCTTGGTTATTTAAGAACACCTACGGTTTAGCTTACATAAAATTACTTTTAAAAAAAGGGGTTGCTTCTTATTTTATGGATTTACCTCAGTCTGCCTAGGGCCCATGGACAAGCCCAGATTTAAACACCTTTGGATGCTGGCTTCCAGTTCACAAGAAGACACAGATCTTGTGTTAAACCTTGAGAAACAATAACCTCAATGAACTCTTTTCATCCTGTCATTCAGAACCACAGAAAAGCTGCTGAAAACATCAGGACTAATTTAATTAATAAGTTAGACTCTAGTAAGAAGGGATGCCTAATTAGTAGTTGAAAGTGCCAGGAGGACAACCTCCTCCAGGAGACTCCTCTTCAGCAATTATGTCTTTGAAAAGCAAGGAGCAAGAGACAAAGAGTTACAATAAACATTACATAAATATCATAAGCATTCTTCACAGGTTTTTCTGTGTTCTTCTTTCTTATTACTGCACCCTGGGTAACACTTCCAAGCAATAGTGTTTAATGAAGCATTTCTGCAAAGAAAATACTTTTCTTTTCAAGTTTTTTTATAAGGTCATTGATTCAAATTATTCTCATTCTGACTCCATATGGATATTAATTCAGACAGAATTGTTTCCATTGTGTAAGCAGAAAACTAAGATGAGAGAAATCTTTCTATAGCTGAAGTTTGTCTCAATGCATTTACACGTCCAATGAATCTACAGACAGATTTTAAAAAGGTGATAGAACTGTACCTGTGAGAAAGATTGGCATGTGAATCCACAGTGGTTTTTTAGTATTATTATTTTTTATGCATTCCTGTCCTTGACAAGTAAGCCAACAGTAGGACTGAATAACACCACCAGAATGAAATGAATATTTCTGAATACATCTTTAAGACATAGCCAGACCATAAGGAAGAAAATGATATGTCTAAATTCTCACATATGGGCATAAGGATTTAAATCTTCACCTATCTTTCACAACTCACTACGAAAAAATGTCAATGCATTTCATTTTGGTCTTGGAGTTCTTGGAGCTTAGGTGAGTTCTGTATTGGTGGGTTTAAGTGCCCTGAAAAACAAATGGATCAGAACTTAATCTGGTTACTCTTTACTTACAATTTACTAAGTATATAAAAGCAGTTATTTAAATCACAGCCCATTCCTACTGCTAACACCTACGGAAGCTCTATTCCGACAGCAGCAAGCCAAAGCATGCAAGCCTTGAACAAATTTTCTTTCTCCTTTCTGTTCTGGCAAGTGTGTTCACTTAATCTCACAGGGGATCTGTCAGCTTTCCCCAGCTCCAAAAGCAATTCTTTAGCACTTATTGAAAAGTGCTGTAAGCGAATGGCATCAAAGCTGACTGGTGTTTGCACGCAGAGACAGGCAACCAGAGCCCTGAGTCACTCTGCCTCTCCAGTGTGTGCTGCACGAGATCAGGGCTAGAAGCAACAGTTAAATCACTCTTGGACTTACCACTTAATGAACATAAATACACAAAATATGCCATTTGTTGGCATGATGATATTGCCGTGAATCATTATATAAAACATACGGTGCTTTGAAATATAGGCATGTAAACATAGCGGAGCACTTGTATGGCTGTAAAACTCACACACTCAAAACAGATCACTCATTTATAGGGTGGCAACTTTCCATATTTGGTTTCATCCCAAAAGTGAGCACTTGGAACAATTAAAAAATGTCTCTGCAGTTATTTGAGATTCATGACAATGAAAACTATTAGTTTGAATAAAAATCCAAACCTAACCCACAAAAAAACAAACAACAGAAAACCCAGCCAATAAACCAACCAACCAACCACGTAAAAAACCATAAAAAAGCAAAACAAAAAAAAACTCCAAAACCTTTTCTAAGGAAATAAATTGCAGAATTTAATGAAGTGTCTTTGCCTAAGAAAACATAAGAGGAACCAAACCTGCAGTTATAGTGTTGCAAATGTGCAAATGTTTGGTTAGACCCTCTGTGTGATTTTGTTCAGTCAAAAACGCATGTGATGTACATTTCTTTCCTTCACCACCTTTCCCGGCAGTCTCTCTGAAGTTACGTGAGCAGAGAACATCGCAACCAGGTCTTGCTCGTTGAGTGTCTGTTGCATGAAATCACATATCATTACTGTTTTCTCTATAGGACATAAAGTATCCATCAGATTTGGAGCAAAGCACTCACGTTAGAGAAACATGCTGTCTCTGTAACCTTGGAAAACAGATTTACTTCCTCACATTTGTGTAATAGCATTTATAATTAGTCATTGGGGAGGTATTATTTATGAAAGCTTTCCTGAATGCAATGCTTTGCAAACATGTAAAGGATTAAATAGGTATTTGTTGCCTTGTGCTTGGAAGAACAAAGCAAGCTGTATGGGAAGAACTGTTTTCCTTCTGTCCCTTGTTTTGCTTCCTTGCTCTAAGCCCTGTGGGCACAGCATTGGCTGAGGCTGAGGAAGCAGAGGAAAAGCAGAAGTGATGGTGAAAGCGATGTCTGAAAGACACTGTCTACACCATATCCTTTCTTCATATATGTAGCAGTTATTTGGGACGATGCTCACTGACATGACATTTGAAACCTTTACTCTTTTTTGGAGTTCACTTCCCACTGAAACATGAATAAACCCTTAGTTTTATTCTCTCTGTCCCATGAGGACAACTTTAGACTCTTTAGTGTGAATTTTTCCACAGCATATTCCACAAAAGGACATTTTACCTGCCACCTAAAGTCATGTGAAATTTATGGAACAGGTAGTGCAAGAGCAGCAACTTACTTGCATCTGGTAAATACTTGTCCTTCCTATTAAGTTTTTGAGGCAGTTGATTTTTGCCCTCCATTTGAAATAGTGGCAGATCTGTGGTACTTTGTATATTATGCGTGTTTGGAAAGACAGGCCTTAAATATTGCATTTGATGAGGTGCCATCACCCAACATATCAACTGAATCTAGTGATGGTGGACAGTAATCACCACTGTTTAATTGAAGCAGCATTACCTCAAATCTCTCTGGCAATAAATAGGCTAATGCTGGTTGAGGTGGTACTTTTAATGTGGCTGATATTTTAATATATAAGTTGCAAAGTGGAGATGAAAGAGGTTTGTTGGTTTTTTTTTTTGTTTAAATGGTTTGAGATTTTTCTGTTCTGGTAGTGTTGAACAAGAACAACTGAGTTCATGGACTGCCCTGACACTTACCTTGAAAATGAAATTAAAGACATTATTTGCAAATTGAAAAGATTCAAAGTCCCTGTATATCTTATGTATCCCCTAGAATTTTCTCTTTCTCTCATATATATTTTTTCCTGAAAGAATAGGAAAAACTTCCAGAACTTAAATGACAAAAATCCTGTATTCATATAGTATTGAATTTACATGGTGAGCTACTCAAATGTCAAGAAATGTCAAAGTTAAGGAGAAACCCACAACTAAAAGACTGTTGTCCTCTGTGTGTACATGTTACAATACTCTTCAGTTACACCATCACATAGAACAATATAAGTTATATAGGAAAATAGAATATGAATGTTCTTCCTACTCTAAAGTATGAATAATATTAGGATGAGTCAAGGAAAATAAATCTTCTTTGTCTTTAATAAAAAAGAAATATAAAAAAAAAACCAAGGAGGGGGAGGCTTGTCCTCGCAGGTCATTCCCATGAGAGAACACTGATGGTTGTGGCCTAATACTTTTGATTCTATTGTTTTTACTGATGAATTAATGGTAGCTGTGTGCAAAGTTTGAAATTTTTTGCATTCTTGTAATTTCTGTACAAGAAATTAGAACATACAATAATGCATTATCTGCAATTCCTATGTCCTCTGTTGAAGAAGTAGTCTGAACTGCGCTGGATATCTGAAAACTTGTAAATTTGAGGATCACAAAGAAATGCCCCTTTCTGAAGAGGAGTCCAGCAAAGATAGCTAATGGGTTCTTCTCCCTTCCTACAAAATCCTGAAAGCTTTACAGAGTTTCAATGAGGAAAAATAACAGATTATTCTTTTAATTTTACAGATGGCATTGTGAACTAGAGTTGTTGCCCAGGGTGGAAGAGACATTTTCAGTCTGCACTGCTTAAAATACTTGAAAGTCCTTGATAATCCACATGACACCTTGTTTTTTCCCAACCCCACTGACGTTACCATTAGGATCAAATCGTATGTGAGCAGGTATTCAAAACAATGATAAGAAAATAAACACTATATATTGCTTCTGCTAATGTACATGCAAGAAAAAACATCTTTAACCTTATGAATCTAATTTAAATGAAGTAAAAACAAATAAAGCGGGAGAAA